TATATATATATATATATATATATATATATATATATATATATATTAATGTTGCATTCCATTTGTTCTCATTTTCTTCATTTGATGTATTATAAGTGATTGCTCTGCATTTTTTAATTTTTATACAACTAGTCTGCTGCTTTTATAAAATTGAAGCACAATTTTTTTTTTGCTTCACATTTGCAGTGAACAAGTTTTCACAATCAGTTTAATTTTCTACCCCAATGTCTGTGTAACCAAATACTGCTTCCTTTGCAGTCAGCCTTTACTGATTAATTGGGGATGGGGCTTTTTCATGGATAAATTAAAAGATATCAGGAATCTCAGTCTAATAACAAAACACAATACAGGCAGTCCTCAACTTACGATCACAATTCATCCCCAAATTTATGTTGCTAAGTGAAACATTTGTTAAGTGAGTTTTGCCCTATTTTATTATCTTTCTTGCCACAGTTAAGTGAAACACTGCAATTGTTAAGTAAGTAACACAGTTGTTAAGAGAATTTGAGTTACCCATTGATTTTGCTTGCCCAAAGGTCGTAAAAGCTGATCACATGACCCCGGGACATTGCATTTATCATAAACATGAGTCAGTTGCCAAACAGTTGCCAAATAGTTGCTAAATATTGATCACCTGACCATGGGGCTGCTGCAAAGGCCGTAAGAATGAAAAAAGGTCATAAACGCCTCTTTTCAGTGCCATTGTAACTTTGAATGTTCACTAAATAAACTGTTGTAAGTCAAAGACTATCTCTATAACTGCATGATTTCAAGAAGCACTTTTCTTTTGTCTGTCATCCAATATGGCAGATTGCTGAAGTAAAGTATAAATTAATATTCCCATTTTTTTGGTTAGTTTTTAATTGTACTTAGTAACTATTTGTACTTTGGAGCATTTCATAAATTGAAAACAAATATTTGCCATTTACCATATTAGGAGAATATAGCAAACTTTTCATATTCATGTTATATTTCAGCACCTGGTTTCTTTCGGGATCACCTTCTACTGTAAATCCTCAAGGTACTTCACCTGAGTCAAAGAAAGGAAGATTTCCTATCTGGCCAGAATGGAGTGAAGCAGACATCAATGTAGAAAAGTGGGATGCTGGAAAAGGTGGAAAGGAAAAAGATAAATCTGGAAGAAGCCCTATTCTAGTATGTTTCCTATAAACTTATCTTTTTTTCCCAATTCCTCTCTATATAGAAATTGCATTGCATTTTTCTTACCTATTGAAGGTGAAATTTAGTTGGATGCCAATCTGGAAAGTTTGCATCTCATATGTGATACATGAGAAGAATTGTGGGGGGAAATTGTTACTATGTTTATTTTGATATTTTAATTACTGTGTGCAGCATGGAAATCAAAGTGCTTAAATTGCCAATGATCTGTTTGCTGGCTAGTTGAGCTAGCTGTTTTTGAGTTACATAAATATTATGTTCCATCATAACTCTGGGGGGGGGGGAGAGTGTATCATTGGAGAATGATGTTTCTGCCTTTTATTTTTCAGTTTGATGATTGCAAGAGATGGGGAGAAGACTTGCAGTAACTCTTAAGTTTTCCACATGTCAGTTGGCATCAATGATTCGACTCTATCAATGTGATATGGACCTTTGCCTGTGCATATGACCATTATTTCATTGGTTGTGTATTTTGATTTCTGCACTAGTTTAAATGCATCATAATTTTGACACATAGACCTGAATCTGCTCCTAAGATTTGAGGAGAGAATTTGGAATTTGATCAGGGGCAGCTTTTTGTCTTTTTGTTCCTATAAATGAAGAAATAGTGAGTGAAGAACAGCAGGATGTTCCTTTAGCTCACTCTTTGGATTCTCTGTTGCTTTTTTTTAGCATTATAGTTGGGTTTCTCCCTGTAAAGCTTGCTAGACTGGTGGAGTTGCAACCTTGAAATTTCTTTGTCAATGGCTTCTTTGTCCTATGTAATAGAGCAGGGGTGTCAAACTGGATTTCTTCAACAGTTGGGGTAGAGGAGATGGGACGGACATCTCCTGCAGCACCCTGCCAGCCCTAACAGGGTGAGCCCCCCATCATGCAAGGCCCCCACATGTCCCATTTTCAGTCTCAACGGCCTCCTGTAGCATCCTGGCAGCAGAAATGCAGTACAGGGGCCTCACGTGGTCCACCATGCCCTGCTTTGGCTGCCAGAGGCTAGCCCTGTGGGCCAGATTTAAGCTCCCCACAAGCCAGATGTGGCCCTTGGGGCCTTGAGTCTGACACACCTTCAATAGAGAGTTGTCAAATGATAATGGTGAGAAACACTCTTCAGCAAGATTTAGATATGAGGAAAACCAAACAGCTACCAGCATTACAAAAGACTAAATGTAGACCCTCTACAATAAATTTAAGATTTATAGTTTCTGAAATTGTCTTCTCATTATTTATAATATCTCTGGACTATAATTAAAAAATGTTGTTTGTGCTTTGTATTAAAATAAAATCAGTAAGTATTAAAATCCAGTTTCCAAAAATTTGAGATTTCTCTTATTATCATGTACAAAGCCAGTGCATCTCCAATGGAGACAGAACAGTCAGAAATGATCTTCTGCACTCCCCACTATCAGGTCTGCAGCAGAAAAGGATGTGAGGAATTTTACACCATGCAACAAATTTCATCTTTTTTCCTATTCCAACTGGAAATTTGCTTTGATTTTTCATATGAACGACAAAGCCAATCTACTCCAGATTGGGTTCTTTTCCATATGAAACATATGCATAGCCAAAAGGAGCGAAAAAAGGCTTCTCAGAACTTTGTTTATTGAAGTCGTGAAATGTTGAATTTATTTGGATCATACGGAGAATGTATCTCTGTGTTTTTCAATTACTCTGCTCATTTTACTGTAATATTAATAATTCATTTAAAAAAAACTGCTATATTTAGACTGTATGAAACAGTTTATATTCTTGAGTTTTTGAGAATTACCGTATTTTCACGACCATAAGCCGCACTAAAAATCCCAAATTTTGATCCAAAATCGGCAGTGCGGCTTATAACCC